AAGCAAGCATACAGCTCTGCATACATGCTCAGGAGACAGTTTCCACATCGAGAGAGATCCAGCAGCAGAGATTCTGCTTGGACACTCTGAACCAGTGAAAAGCAGCTCCCAGGTAGCTAAAGATAAGTACATGTGTGTGGCCTTTTGTGGGGATTTAAAAAAAAAAAAAAAAAAAAGCCCATTTGGGAAAAACCTCTCTCCTTTTTACCTCTTCCCTCCCTACTCTGCACTGGTACAGCCTTCCGAAGTCTCTGAGTCCCCTGGGCCGGAAGTGTATCCCAAAAGGTGCCCTGACCCATTCTCCTGGCCTTGGAGAGGGAACAGGTAAGCTACTGGCTCCCCTGAGCCAGGAACTCAGGGTCAGCACAGCTCTTTTGCTAGGCACAGGCATAAGGGGTCTGCAGACTTTGAGTGCCTTCCACCCCTGTATAGACTTGTGTGGACCCATCTCAACAGCGTAAGCCCTCACTACCACACTACAACAGGGTAAACACCTGAAGTCTAATTTCAACTGTTTCAGCTGTGAAGTGGCAGATTTGTGACCCTTGACACAGCCCTGCCCGTTAAGCAGGCACCTTTACTGGTCTGCACCAGCGGCTTGAGGACTGGTGGCTCCACCTATGCAACCTAGTCACCTGCTACAGGGGTCCAAGAATAAGTGGTGCCCCTGAGTCTTTACAGCCAACAGAGTAGGGTGCTCATAGTCCTGCTGCAAAACTCATCTACCTACTTGCTCCAGGGAATAGGGACACTCTTTCCTTTCAGACACTCAGAGGCAGCCGTCAGCACACTGCCTTGCTGAGCATATGACCCCCTATTACAGCCAGATACCTGTGCCTACACCAATCACCCATGCCTCTCTAAGACTGTAGGTGAGAGCCTGCACCACACACTTGGTGACCAACTGCGTGGACACCTGAGCTGAACCCATACAGCAAAATTTAACAGACTCCTGTGTGCACATCCTTAGATACAGAATGAACTACCTGGTGACAGGACGTTAGAGCTTCAAAGGCACCAATAATCAAACTAGCGCACACGAGCAGCCTATCTGAGCATATCAAAACAAAAACAAAACAAGAATGTAGGACACACTAAACAAATATAAAATAAAATTATAATAACTTATTGATGGCTCAGAGACAACAGTCAATATCAAATCACATAAAGGGCAGTCCATGATGGCTTCAGCAAGCTCCCAAAAGAAAGAATCAATAAATTCTCTGGAGG